GTAATTAATGTTTGCAGGTTTGTGATGTTTAATTTCGAACAGTTCCGCATATGAATGCCCTTTTCGCGCAACTATTGCTGCATTTCAGTTTTTCAAGATCCCATATTTGGTACACGTTTGGCTCAACGACTGTGGTAGGAAACATTATCCATGACGATCACAGAGTTGAATACAACTCGCTGAACCACTCCTTGAAACAAGCTGTCGAAGCAGCTGGCATTCATTTCGTCATGGTATTTCAGTTTTGCGAGATCCCATATTTAGTACACGTTCGGCTCAACGACTGTGGTAGGAAGCATTATCCATGACTATCACAGAGTTGGATTCAACTCGCTGAACCACTCCTTGACACAAGCTCTCGAAGCAGCTGGCATTCATTTCGTCATGGTATTCACGTCCTTTCTTAGAGACGAAAGTCAAGCTACATCCTTCTAAAAGGCCACTATCGCTGCCAACATGAGTAACGATCAATTTTTGACCTTTCCATGACGGTGCACGAAGACCTGATGACAAACCGTCAATGCTTGCGTGTCGGTTACTCAGTACATTTTTGTCTATCCAGGTTTTTTAACTGTGTGACCTGCACTTACTCACGTCTCGTCCAAATAATATATTTTTCTGCTCTGTCGTCTATATTCAGTTATTGCGCGTAGGTATTTTAGACGCCACGCGACTATTTCAGATTTCTCTATCAATCCTGACCTCCGACTACGCGTTTCGTAACGAAAATTAAGTTCGGGCAGGGTTTTCCTTAATATACTAAGTGACATATAAATCCGAACACCCAGTTTAAATGGTTTTATTTTAATAAAATTTTGTATAAGTACTTAATGAAGCATAATAAGTAAATGATAAAAATTTCAAAATGATTGCATTGCTTTAAAGCTCTTTGACCTTTAATAATGTGTGGATGCACCCTGATGTGCTACGCATTCTCCAACGCGCCTAGGCATGCTTCTGATCAGGTGGTCAATGTCCTCCTGTGGTATCTCATTCCAGGCAACCACCAACTCCTCTCGAAGTGATTCTAGAGTCTGAGGAGGACGTTGCAAATTGAGCAATCTCCTACCCATCATATCCCACACGTGCTCAATTGGGGATAAGTCGGGAAATCTTGGTGGCCATGGTAACAATGTGATATCATTATGTTGAAAGAAGTCTATTGTGACTCTTGCAACATGTGGTCGGGCATGATCTTGTTGGAAAGTTGGATCTGCCAGGGTGTCAAGATAGGGTAAAAGATGGGGTTCTAGAACATCGTGGATATAACGCTGCGCGTTCATGTTACCTCTGATGAAGATTAAAGGTGACCTGGAACCTTAAGCTATAGCACCCCAAACCATAACTCCAACAGTGTGATGAACATGTCTTTCAACAAAAAACTGTGGATTCCTCCTTTCATCACGTCGCCTTCTAACCCTGGCACGACCATCGTGCATGCCTAAACAAAATCGAGATTCGTCACTAAAGACAATACTGTTCCATTCCTGATCCCAGAGTGACCGTTGTCTGCACCACTCAAGGCGATTACGTTAGTGTTCTCGAGTTAAAGGGAGGACCCAGTGTGGCCGGTATGAAAACAAGCCAAAACTTCTCATTCGTCGGTAAACGCTTCGCATGCCAATAGGTCTTCCGTGTTCTGCAAACCATTCATTTGCAATGGACCTGGTAGTGGAGAAACGGTCCCTTAAGGCCAATAATCTTAGGCGGCGATCTTCACGGTCTGTTGTTCTACGGCGGCGTCCAGTGCCCCTTGCTCTTTGCGTACGGCCTTCTCGAAGCCATGCCTGACAACACCTAATCACAGTGTCTACACTTCTTTGCACTCTAACTGCAATTGCCCGAAAAGAAAGTCCAGCTTCCCGAAGTCCCACTATACGGCCCCTATCAAACTCACTAAGTTGACGAAATCGTACAGGTCTCCGTACTCTAGACATCGTAACCGATCGTAAAAGATGTCAAGAACCAAAATCCGCCAACGTTGATTCTTTACTGCGGCTGAAATATTCATTTTTAGAGGGTTAGTGAATTAAAAAAAAGCAGTATAAAAACCGGAATGTCCAACTGATAAGGCTGAACATTTTTTCACTTGTTATTTACAGTAAGATAAATACATTCACCAACTTTTATTAAAATAAAACCATTTAAACTGGGTGTTCGGATTTATATGTCACTTAGTATACTTCGAGACATACCGGGGGTATGATATCATCAGGTACTCTTGATGTTTGCATGTATAGCCTTAAGGGTTGGGATCTTATTCCTAATAAATGATGAATCTACGGTTCGTCTTAACACCGGCTTGATGTCACCATTTAGCTTAATGGCCTTACGTTCCTTCAAATGGAACTTTGGACCAGCAGTAGTTCCTTCTGTTCATGCACCACCCTGCGAACAGTCCACTCTGGGACGCCTGTCATACTATCGCAACGCGTAAGTACATCTCCCTGCCACATAATCTTGTTCAAATAATTGAACACGTTGAGCACGATTTCTTTCGCGTTCTTTTTCAGTGCCTCACGAAGCTTTCTACTTATTTCCTGGCTTCCAGTCCTTCCGCTCCCAGTTTCATCCTCCATGGTTAAGGAATAAAAGTATAACCCGAACAATAACAACAGAAATACGCCAATGTATCGAGCCTTGTAGCGTAAAAGCGTTGAGGCGTCATTTTATCTCAGGACCGGAATCAGTTTTCATTCTTCCTTTCAGTTTAATTATGGTAATATGGTTTTATTACAAGGCATCTTGAATTGCACAAAGTAGTAAAATATAAAATATTAATGCAAATGGGATATTTCCCAAAAAACTTCTTACTAGAATAAGCCTACGGCTTCGCCCGCATGAAAGTCAATAGTGTTACAGGCAAACAGGATGCCGCGCGGCACCTGCTATTCGTTCATTGTTCAATGGCTGAATCGTAGTGCAAAATCCACATTGAGTTAGAAAATAAAGCCAAATATAATTTTCACGGGATGATAAGTATAACTTGGCGAATTTTCACGGGAGTCGCGATCGGACAAACTTACTTGGCGGGCGTCAGTGATTGTACGCAAGGTCCTGTTCTGCAAAATCTGCAGGCAGCGCAAATGCGTTTTGGCAAGAAAACACCAAGCCTCACTTACGTAAGTGATCGCTGGCTTAATAACCATCTTGTATAGCCGAACGTTGTCGATCAAACTTAATTTTGATGTTCTGCATAGCATAGGGTAGAGTTTTCGAAACGAGATTTTGAATTTAGTTTTTACCGCTTCAGTGTGCTTCTGCCAGGTTCTCCCCTTGTCAAGAGTGACACCGAGATACTTAGCAGAGCTTTCTCATGGTACCCGAGCTCCATTCACTGAAAGCTCAGACGGGGCGCCGCTACGTTTTTTAGTACAATAGATCTCCAGAGCACGACAGGGCCACCAGGGCAGTGTCATCAGCATAGAGATAGGTTTCACAGCTGCTGGGGCAAGGGACGTCATGAATAAAAAGTGAATAAAGGACTGGTCCAAGAACCGAACCCTAAGGGACACTGGCTTTGATGGGCCGTGCTGTCGACAGAACGTTATTAATTTTGATCCGAAATTTCCTACCCTCGAGAAAGAACTTCAAAAGTTTTAGGAGCCAGAAGGAGAAGCCCTTATGGATCAATTTGTAGAGAAGGCCCTTGTGCCACACCTTGTCAAATGCCTTTGAGACATCCAGAAACAAGATGCCAGTACTTTCGTTACGGGTGAACCCCCTGGTTACTCGTTCAACAAGCCTTATGGCCTGTAGGTCCGTACTATGCTCAGACCGAAAGCCAAATTGCACGTCTGGAATCACATTGTGGTCTGCCGAGAAATTTTCAAGGTGGCGTAGAATCACCTTTTCAGCGAGTTTAGAAGGAGCTGACAGTAGACTAATGGGGCGGTAATCCTGGGCGAATATCGAACCCACCTTCTTTGGAATCATTATGACATCAGCGGTCTTCAACGCCGTTGGGAAGTGCTGGGTCCTTAGCATGGCACTGACTATTACCACGAGATAAGTTAAGGACTTCCGCGAAAGTAGCTTCAGCGCCTTATTAGTGATTACGCACCTTGAGGTCGTTAATATGACCTTGGAGCTCTGCTGGTATGCAATGCGGAGTATCAGGAGATTCCGCTGATGTGCCGTGCTGCTCTTCAATTGAGGAATCTTCTGAAGATTCCTCTGAGGAAAAATCACTAAGTGAGGCACTACTGCCACTAACGCCGTTGGGCCTAAAATGTCTCCTGACGGATCCTACGACATGTTGCTCCTCGTCGAGGTCATTATCAAGGTCATAGTTGGGAGAGAACTGACTTTCCAATGCATCAGCGAAAACCTCGACGTTTTCCTCTGTCCTACAGACTATGCGCCTAGGACCGTGGATGTGCAGGAGTTGTTCTCGATTTCCGTTTATGAGCGGCTTTGCAACTTTCCAGAGAGGAATACTTGAATCAGGCATCCCCGACAGAAAGTCGCCCCATTGATCATTACGGAATTCATAAAGAGCATTTCTCACTTCATGAAAAAGATTCGTTGCTCTGTGAATGTCATCTGGGTGACAAGACCTTTTTGCTTGCTTAATTGCAGCTCTTTTGTCAGAAATTTTCTGACGAATGTCTGCAGGGAGAGATCGATAACTGTTGTTTCTCTGAAATGTCTGTGGCAATAATACTGCATCTAGCTCTTCTAGGTTTCCTATTTGTTTGTCTTGGTCCAGCTTTGATAGTATCGCTAAAGCTGGATGGGGATATAAAAGCTTTCTCACTTGAATTTTCTAGTGGTTGTGCCAAAGCATTACACAGCTTTGATTCTTGTGCCTTCATGCAAACATCTGACCTTGGAGCAGTTGTCAATCGACGTGGAGCTATCAACCCCTCTAGTGTAGTCTCTACAACAGGTGCTGCTGGTCTAATCTGGTTTTCTGGTGGCGATGGGCACAAGACCTGTGATTGTTCTGAAGTATCGTTCACAATTTCTACCTGCTGTTTTGAGGAAGACGAACTGAAATGAGAGATGGTAGTGTTATGTGTCGGTACCACAGATGCTCCGGTGTATGATAATGAATGATTTTGAGAACTGGATGGATGACATTTGTGATGTGATGAACCAGCTTCACGAGAGATGCAGTTTGGACAAGGGCGATCTTTCACAGTGCTCGGAAGAAAGTTTTCTTCTGGGAATAAATGCCTGTCAAACGGATATATGCCACATTTCGCAAGGGAGTTGGTAATATTCGTAGGAGTCATATCTTTTTGAAAGGCCATTCCTATGATTTCATTGAAATCATAAATAGTAACTTTTTTCCCAGGATGTCTTAGTAGCCAAGAGTCAATGGCGGAATTGTAATAAATTTTGAATGGACTATAAATTCCCACGACAAGTGGTTGAAGTTTTTCCAATGTGTAAGGGTGTATGGTAAGTATGTGAACTCTTGCTTTTTTGCTAACTCTAACGCCTCGATACATAAATGCGACTCATGATTGTCCATGATTAAGATACATGGATTTTCTTTACTAGTGTTAGCGTGCTTAATAAGGTGATTAATTACTTTTGGAAAAATTGTTGAGTTCATCCATCCTGTAGGCGTTGCCAACCCAAGTGTACAAGGAGGCATGTTTTTTACTATATGTCCTTAGAAGCTCTTCCTTGGGAATACCATTACTGGAGGTAAGGTATTCCCACTTGCACTTATAATGCAATAAGTAGTTACTAGAGTGCCTCTTTCTCCACTTGTCGCCTTCGCTATTGCTTTCTTTCCTATAGGCGCTATTATCTTTTGAGGTCTATGTACCGTCGTGGTTGATGTCTCATCAAGATTGAAGATTCGGGTTCCATCTGCGAAAACAGCACTTCGATTCATTATATCCCCCAAATTGTCATAGAATTTTTTCACGTTGCTTCGATTGAAGGCTGTGCTTCTAGCGAGGCTACATGGTTCCGGTTTTCTTAACGTACAGTTATGTCTTCTTCTAAACGAAGTTAACCAGTCTTTGCCGGTCATTTGGTTTATCTTCCACGAATTATGTAATCGGAACATCAAACTTCGTTTTTAAAAAACTTTATTTGGTTCCAACAATAGTTTACTGGACCGAACCGGAATTACAGTATATGTGTGTTCGCTGTGACCGAGATTGAATGACTGACTCATAATTAAGATACAATCGTTAATATAAACCAAGAGTGATGAGCTAGTAAAAAGGAATACAATGCAATTATTATAATTTAATTAATAAAGTGTTAAATGACAGCAACATAACTCCTCCACCCTTAAGATGAAGTTTTGCAAGGCACAAACAAAACTTCATGCCTCTGGGGTTGCATTAAGATTTCTTCTAAATGCTGGCTTCTTCTTGATCCTTTTCTTCTCTGGTAATACTTTTTCACGAAAATGTATGCAATTCCAATTAACATAATTGCATACATTTGTAGGGGCGCTTCACTGTTTCGGGAAGATCTACTTGGATTTGGTCGGCTCGTTCTCGCAAGTGATGAAGTTTATCTAAGGAAATATGTACTAACTTGATTTCCTTTGGATTTTCTGTTTTTGATGAAATGTGGACCTCTGGAAGCAACAGCGGCTTTTCCATGGTTGTTCCTTTTTGATTTTTTGTAAATGTAGTCCTTTGTTTGTATGCTGCACTGGTAAGGCACTTCAAGTAGGTAAACGCCTTTTCACTCTATGACGTCATCTTGTTCACACTTGATTATCAGCTTTTCAGGTTTCGGAAAAATAGCAATGTATTTGAACTCTGAAACTTCTTCAATTAAGGCCATTTTAAGAGTTACGGGAATTTTGTTACAATTTGGCTGCTTTTTGTTTACTTGTAAAATAGCAAATAGACAATCGTCTTCTTCTTCTGCTACATGGACCAATTTGTTTTCGTGGCAAATAAAAATATCTTCTATCTTTTGACATGGTTCAGCATCATATTGGTACATTTTGGTACTCATTGTGAAATAGGAATTTTTGGGAATAATGGTAGTTTGGTTAACAGTAGGAATGCAAAAGCGCAACATGTAAGGCAAAAACTAATCGATTTTGGGAATGAGAAAAACTGGAGAATTCCAAGTTGAACTACTATGTCGAATAATATTCTGATCTAGAAGAGATCTAATTTGGCTTTGCATTTCGTTTTTGAGCATGTGTGGATAACGATACGATTTTGTATGAACATTAATTTCATCTGTGGTCTTAATATGATGCTTAATTTGGTTTGTGAATGTTAACGCATCACCCTCGTAATAGAATACGTCGGAGTAGGTTTGATACGATTTTTGAATATGAGTTTTTTCTTCATTATTGAGACGAGATGTTCGTATCAGTTTACTGATATCATGTCGCAACGGCGAAACTGATTCAGATGGTTTAATGATAGCGTGGAATAAAGCGTAATTGCTTTCTTCAAACGGAAATGAAACAATAGGCTCATACAAGGAAACTTCTTGATAAGTGCTACTAGGTTTTTCTAGATCAACTAGGGCGTAACCGTTTACAACATAAGTAAGCGTTTCCTTGATTACACAATCTCTAATTTTGGAATTTGGAATCAAAATTTCTCCATTGTAAGTATCGACAGGAATTTTGGCTTGGGCCGCCGTGTAGGGCTCAATTTATATGAAAAATAACAAACGATTTTTCAAATCATGAAATTTGATTGGAATTTTGGTGTTTTTGGTATGCAAAATAGAATTTCTAAGATCAATATGTGAATTTAAAAGTTCCAAAGTATCTAAACAAATCAGACCATCAAAATACTTGTGAAATTTGAACAAATTAAATTTTATAGGCTCACTAACATTGAGTTCTGAGAAGGCAGGAATTTTAGCACAATAGTCTCTCTTCGAATGCTGAAAAACTGAAGTTACTTCGAATGGTTCCTTATAAATATATTTTGGAAAATGGAACTGTGCAAGAACAGGACTTAAAAATGATTTCGTTGCACCAGTATCAATAAGAAGCTTTAAAGGCGGATTTTTGATTGCAATAACTCTGTTTTGTCATAAATCGTGTTTAAGTATATTATGTCTCCTCTATCATGGGCACGGCCATCTGAAAATTTTGTTTTTCTTCATCAGGTTTTTGACCAGTTTCAGAAACATCATTTTGTGCCTCTCCAGGGTTTTCGTAATATAGGTCAGAACAGTCATACTGATTTTCGCTATCCTGACAATATTCCGAGTAATAGTCATCGTAAGGGTTGTTTCCAAAATTTTGATCATAAGGATCACTCTCAACGTTATGTGATTCTTGAGAAGCAAGGTTCCTTGGGACAGAAGGCCTAAAATAATTATTTTGGAAATTCTTATTTCTATTGATGCTACTAACACCACTCATAGGAGTAGGCCTGTAGGAAGGTCCTTGGTTAAGCGGATTACGCCAAACATTACCATTAGGTCTATTGCCAAAAACTTGTGCGTTTGTTGGAAATCTTTGTGGGAGAGGATTTTGTCTAGGTTGAATCGGAACTGGTCCTCTTGGGAATTGAGGCTGATAATTTTAAATTTTGCTGAGGCCTAAATTGATTCATAGGCTGCATTTGAGGCTTAAACAACTTTTGGAAAGGTGGTTTGGATGGAAGGGCAGGCTGAGGTGGCTTATTGAAATTTGAATGTGCACCAGCCTTTTGTAAATATCTAATGTTATTATATTCTAAAATATAAGCTTGAGCTTGTACCAAATTTTCAGGTTTCATCGACCGAATCATGGAACTTTGTGGCTCCTTTAAACCTACTAAAAGTGTATGCAATGCATGACTGTCATACAGTGCCTTTTTACTAGTTTTAATAGCATCAACTGTTTCACGAATATTTATATAGTTATGTAAATGATTCATCATGGTTACAACTCTAGAATAAAACTGTAAAGAGCTTTCATTAGAATTTTGTCTAAGGGCAGTCATATCTGAGATAAGACTACTCTCGTTTCTTTGATCACCAAAATGAGCAATTAGCAATTTTTTATGCTGTCCACTCTGTGGAACCGCTAAGAGAAAATACTTGCTCTGCAGCACCAGTCAATTTCGAGAAAATGCCATGCAGCAGTATTTTGTTTTGGACACATCCTGTATCGTCAGTGTTCCAATAGTTATTTAATAAATCTGTGCTTATTTCTAAATATCTAAATTTGGAGTAATTTTATGTCGAACTGGGGGGCACTATTTCTACTGGGGCTCGTCATTATTATCTTTTCTATAGTTTCGTTTGCTTCTCTATTTCTCTACTTCCTAATTCTAAGCTTGCTATGTGATTAGCGATTTGATCTGCACTATCACCTTCGAAAGGATGTACACGTCGGGGTGAGTCACTCATGAAAAAATAAGGATACAATGAGCACTTACTGATAGGTCCAGTACCTCATCCCGTTCTTGGCCTAGGTACCTTAGTTGGACGTCGACTTCAACAGGACAAAGAGCACTTGTGGTCCAAATTCTTTCTTCTTTCTTCAGTCGTACCGGCTCGTCACGGAGGTTCGTGATTTCCAATTAAGAGTTCGACCTCAAGGGCTAATCGGCGAAAATCGCTTTCGGAATCCTACTGCGGGCTGCGCCAATTATGTAGTCGGAACTTCGTTTTTGAAAAACTTTATTTGGTTCCAACAATAGTTTACTGGACCGAACCGGAATTACAGTGTACGTGTGTTCGCTGTGACCGAGATTGAATGACTGACTCATAATTAAGATACAATCGTTAATATAAACCAAAAGTGATTAGCTAGCAAAAAGGAATACAATGCAATTATTATATCAATTAATAAAGTGTTAAATGACAGCAACATAACTCACGATACAGGAATTTGCAGACCATAAAATAACAGAGCACAATGTGGAAAATATCCTTTTAGGGACTGTTCTGGCTCAGCGGTGAATGTTTTTTTAACTGAGTATTTTGGTTCCAGTCTTTGATCCTCAAGTGAGACACAAACCCTTGTTTTATTGTAATATTTTTTTATAGCTACAAATGGCACTCTACTATGCTCAGCAGCTTTTCTTATCGACATGCCTTGTCCAATTAAGTTAAGACCACGTCGTACTTCATCTGCAGAGACTGCCAATCTTCCGTACAGTTTTCTGAGGACGTGGCATTCTATGGACAAAGAAGTTGTAACAAATAATGCTGAATCATTCTTTTAAACGATAAACAGGCTAAACGCTACCAGAAGTATACAGTGGCTCATGAACCACTGTGGACTTTCAGTGTCTGAGCCACTGTGGACTTTTCCGCCATTTTTAGTTTATCGGTAAAATAGAATAGAAACATAACGTTAAAAGATCTAAACTATGGATAAGCTATTGATATAGTATACTAACTTTATAGCGAAAGCAGCAAAAGCTATAATTCCTGTCCTATTTTTGACTCGAAGTGCAAGAAACTTACCTCAAAAAAATGGTTTTTGCTGCAACAAAACAAATAACCCACAACAACTAGACGACTCGGTGACAGAACTGTCTATCGACTGTATGTCAGAAATATATGTATAGTGATTTTTGTTTTTCAAATATGGCACCTGAGCCAGTGTGCCCTACTTGACCCTATTATCTAGAACAGAGTTCCCCAAACTTTTTTGTGTCGTAGACCGTTGCCATGTTTTTCCGTGTTGGGTAGACCCCCTACTTACCTGATATTGATTTCCTATAAATTTCTAACTGTAGTGAAGTTTAGTGTTAAAAACTTAAAGTAAAAACACATGTTAATTTATACATTTATTAATTGAATTTAAATTAAAACTACTCAAAATAACATTTTGTATCTGTTATGTAAAATATATGTAACATTAAACAAACAGTTGTCTGACCAATAAGTGCCCGCATTGAAAAAAAAAATAAGAGGGATAAAATAAAAAAAATTGAAAAATAATAAAAAAAAGTTTTTTACTTAAAATAGTACAATAAGCGAGTTTGTTTATTAATTATAACATAAACGTATGTTCTACAATAATTTCACTGTTAGTTCGATTAAATTCCGCTTCTTATACGCTTAAGTTACCCAAAAATAGGCAAAAAATTAACGAATTTTAGTGTGTACCTGTCCTTGAATTTTCAGAATAATTTAATATAAAAATAATAAAAATATTTTCTATAAAGGGGGGTTCTTTAAAAAAATCAATGCGGTCATTTATTCCCAATGCGGGCATTTATTGGACATACACCAATATACATAAAATAAACTATAATAAAATAACATAAGCAATAAGTCAATATTTTTAGTGAGAAGGATGAACCTGATACTTTAATAATAAATTATCAACATTTGGCGTCAATTTTGTAAGGGTTAATCTTAAATCTCCTCGGCTAGTGATGTCCAGTCTGTTTCTTTTTTCGTTAGGAGATTGGTAACAGCGCTGAACCCCCTTTCCACTAGGTATGACAATGGAAAGGAAATTAAAAATTTCCTCGCTATATTCCATAATACGGGATAAGTAACGGGTATGTTGTTTTGCAGCCAGAATTGCTGATATCCGTTTTTAAACTGAAGTTCTTCCTTTGTACTTAGTTCAGTCAGTTCCTCTTGTATTATGACATTTGTTTCTTCTATGTCACCATATGGATTAATTATCCACGGTGGTATCACCATAGTCAAAATATCCTCAAACATAGATTCAAAATCTGAACAGAGGGCATTTAAATGTTGAACGTAAGTTGAAACGTCGTCTTCCTGGCAGCTTGTCTCTGACAAATTGGGGAACAGAGAAAATTCGCCCCGTCCAATATTTTGCTTCATTAGTTTAACTCTGGAAAGAAACGCTGATAAGATGGACTTTGTTTTAATCAAATTTAAACTGTCGCCTTGTAATTGCAAATTAATCATATTAAATTTTGTAAACAAATCTGTTAAATAGGCTTTGCCTGTATTCCTCTTCATTAAATTTTCTTTTAATATTTTATCTTTAGTATCCAGAAATTCTAAAATAGTCTCAAAAATTGCAAAAAATCTTGTCAACCATAAGCCTTTCGACAACCAGCGTACTTCAATGTGAAGGAGTAATTTATGAAAGTGTTCGTTAATTTCTTCACACAACTGCGCAAATAACCGCGTATTCAACGCGTTGCTTCGGATTCGGTTTACTGCATCAATGACTGAATGAAGTGATTCATGCAATCTAACACGCAAGTTTTTAGCAACTAAATGTTGTGGATGGATGAAGCAATGTATCGCTAACACCCCTGACACATTTTGTTTTAAATAGATTATAAATCCACGATAACGTCCAACCATGGCAGGTGCTGCATCTGTAGCTACTGATATTATATTTGATAAAGGAATTGCTTTTTCAATGAAGTAATCCTTCAAAACATGAAATATTGATTCACCTTTAGTGTCGGTTATCAAAGTTCTTGCGAAGAGCAGTTCTTCGTAGATTTCTTGATTCATAATAAAACGAACATATGCCAATAATAATGCTGCATTATCAGGTAAAGTTGACTCGTCCAGTTGTATAGAGAAATGGGTCGTTTGCAAATAATTACATAAGAAGCTTTCAACATCAGAACGCATTTCATCAATACGTCTTTCAACAGTATTGTTGCTTAAGGGAATTCTTTTAATGATATCAGATGCTGGTTTGTGTAAAAGTTTTTAAAACCTCTTCAACGGCTGGCAAAATTAACTTTTTTCCGATAGTATGCGGTTTTCCGGATTTTGCTATAAGTAACGAGATATTGTAAGACGCCCTCAAACCATCATCATTTCTTTGTGACGTCGAAGCGGACAATCTGTCCAGTGTAGGTCTCTTCTGAAATTTATCTTTGAGTGTTTGAAAGTATTTCAAATCTTTCTCTGTTTTATCAGGGTGGCATCTTCTCAGATGATCTTGCAGTTTAGATGGTTTCATAGCGTCATTGCCCAAAACTTTGTTGCATAAAAGGCACATAGGCGATTGTTTGTCCGGCAATGATGGAATGAAGCCAAATTTCAAATAATCAACACTGTACTGTGTACATTTCTTTTTAGATTCGGACATGGCATCAGTCATCTGTGGGCAACATTAAATTATTTAAATAAGACAGAAAATCCAGCAGCCGTATATTAAAAATATTTTTTGATTTTTCCGTTAACATTCCATAATTCAAACATCTTCTTGCAACAATTAGCTCGAATTACGGAGATTGCACTGTAATTATATTACCGATTGCTAAAACTTTCAAAAATAAACTATTGAGGAGTACTCGTGTAATTTTGCATGATTGAATATTTAACTACTAATAACTAAAGTCATGATTGACGTAATTTATCTATCTTTGCTAACTACGAGTACAAAACTAAAATTTAATAAAAAATAGTGTACTTACCTTTCTCCAGCACTCTCAAACAAAATAAAACTAACTCACTATAATTTGTGTGATATACTATCTGTTTATATTTTTTAAAATATTTTCTTAGCACTTTCCTTTTCAAGATTCAGGAAACGAATAAATGTATTTGTCCCACATTCGTATTTATAGAGTGACGAATTGAACAAGTCAGTGCAAGGTAGCGAAGCTCTGAGACTGCGACTCTCAGATTTTTACAAGTTCAAAATGTATTGCGACCACAAAGCGAATACCAACATCCTACAACTTACACAATTTTATGAACATATATAATAAATTTTTTACTTCATAGGTACTTTTGTAAATAATTTATATGTTTTGATATGATAAGATAGTATGATGTAAGTAAATGGGTACTATCAGTGTATGTGTTGAGATCCACTATCGTGGACCCCCATATTCATTTCATGGATCCCCAAATTTTTTTTCGCTGATGTAGACCCCTTGCAGGTTGTCATAGACCCCTAGGGGTCGATATAGACCACTTTGGGAATCAATGATCTAGAATGTTCCCTCGCCCGGTCACGCGTATGAGTCATTACAGTTTTAGATAGTTACAGTATAGTCTGCAAGACGACAATCCATTGTTTTTTTTTGACGTCTCATAGTTATCTTTTACACAATACCTGTGCCGGGCAGCACTTCAAACATGTGCCCAGTATTCGAGAATCTTAACTGGGCCTTGTACATAGAGAGAAGGCCACGCGGAAAAAAGAACTTCTTAGTTAATACGACGCATAGCTTATTTTATTCTGTTTCAACCTGGTACAACAGTAACAATGATAGTCTGTTTGCCTTGTCTTCTTGAAATGACCGGAATAGATTTCTCGGTGTGCAGCATGAATATACCCGATCACTACAATGTAATTTGAGGTACGTAGATGCACATTCGCCTTGAGGTATACCGAATACATGCATAATAGAGAACAATGTTTATTACGGTCATTGCTCGGTTCTGCCCGCTCTCTCACGTCATACCCCGTAAATCGGCTTCTCAATTTCTGCGAATCATGAAATTCAAATCTGTCGAATAAGGTAATCCACCTGCGCCATTGTGATTGGGTATCCGATACTTGGGCTCAATTATGGCATCACCCACGGATTATACGTGCTTAGTATTCGGACATGGAGTGGTTTCGGATGTGCCGCTTTATTAGGTATATACTGGAAATGGAACGCTCGCACTCGTTGGCTTTTGTTACAAAAAAGCTCGTTATGAACACATCAATTGTTATTGCTCAATTCGTGTATCTCGTATGTAGCTCCAGTTCTTCTAAGACAACTTTGTGGCAGATTTTTATAGAGTACAGATTAAACATCAGACATTGTGCTATAAAGAACTATAGGTAATTCTCATACAATAAAAGTCTGTAATTTGGATGCATTAAGAAGTGGATTCAGATGTAACATCTCAAAATATTTGGGTTCGTTGTCTTTTTTCGGTAACTTTCTAAAATGATTGGAAACTTTAGGGGAAAGTTGGGAACCACTAAATGTTGATTTTTCATAGATCGACCGATGCCTATACAGGGTATTCCTTAATGATATGCGAATATTTAAGGGTGTGAATCTACACGAAAAATTAATGTCAGTAGCTCCATAAACTATGGTCCAAAAATGTTTCCTTACAAAAACTCGGGGTGTTGAAGTTTGGAAATGGAAATTAATTAATATTTTCAGAACCGCTTCAGATATTCCACTGATATTCAGTACGTGGTGAAAGTTAATAAAGTTGCATATTTTTCAATGCAAAAATAATTTTTAGCTTTAACAGTGGCGTGCGTACGGGTACTGACTTCGATATTTTTTAAGGAAAAAATGGCGCGCCAATGGTTTTTTGCCAAGTAAAAATTATTTTTGAATTTCCCGTTCAATTTAAAACAAATTACCTCTGGTGAATTGTTTTTCTTCGATGCGCCATTATCGAGTAAAATATAATCACCGTTCTATTGTCTAACTTGCAAAATTATTATTAATTTAATTGGAAAAATTAAACACATTAGGGGTAATGAACAATAAAAACTGACAACATATACATAACATAACATTAAAGCCAACGAAATGATTACAAAGATTGTTGAAAATGGCCCCCTTCCCTTAGTATGCATGCTTCCGTCCTCCTTCTCATAGAATTGTGCACTCGTTGAAATATCTCTGGAGTGTCTTTTGTTCTATCACAAGCTGCAAGTGTTCTTTCTTTTAATTACTCTACACTGTTAATGGGACTTGTGTGCGTTAGCGTCTTAAGATAGCCCCACAAAAAATCTAAACTGTTGAGGTCTGGGGACCTTGATGGCCATTCTTGGGGCCCACCGCGGCCAATCCAACGATTTGGATAAACAGTTTGTAAATAATTACGAACCGCTGCACTGGAATACGCTGGTGAATCATCATGCATGTACTACATATTGTTTCTTATTACTAACGGAACATCATCAAGCAGCAAAGGCGACAGTTGTTGAAGAAAATTGAGGTAAGTATGTCCGTATTGTCGTCCCGGCAAGAAGAAAGTGCCAATAAAGTGGTTGCCAATAAATCCTGCCCATACATTAACCGAAGATTGGTGTTGGAAATGGGATTCGGTTATGACATAGGTATTTTCTTCTGCCCACAAATGATTATTGTGGAAATTCTGAATGGCATTTTGAGAACAATTAGCTTCGTCCGTGAACAGAATAATTGACTCAAATTGCGGATTTTGTGTAATTTTTTGAAGATACCACTGACAAAAGGTCACATGCCTTGGAAAATCAATGAGAAATAATGCTTGTACTCTTAAAATATGGTAGGGATATAACAAAAGATCCATTAAAATTCTCCAAACAATTTGATGGCAAATATTTAAGTATCTAGCGATCTTCCTCGTACTCGTTTCAGGATGCTCTCTGACTTCGTGCAGCACTGCTTCCTCAATTTCAGGTGTTCTCACACTTAGAGGTCTACCTTCAGATGTTCCTTTTCGGACAGAACCAGTTTCAACAAGAGGACGATGAATATTAGAAAAGGTTCGACTAAGGTACCCGGGGGTAATAAGGCCCACCTAAGAAATTATAATTAATATCTACGAGAGAAATTTACTTTTTCAAACTTTTCTTATTATAAAAAATAGAAAAGGGTATAAACTAACATAATGGTAATATTTGAACACAAAATAGTCGTGCTTATATGTCGAGACGCGAACATTAAATAAATTGTCTTCTGGGCCTTAAAGCCTGCAAGTGCATATAATAAGACCCATATTTAAATGAACAAAAAACAAGTCAAACGAATAAACAGAACACAAAAAAAAAATCAAAAAATAAAAAGAAAATATTAAAATAATGATATCCAAACATAAATATCAAAAGTATCCCTTTGGGCCTTAATATCTGCAGCGACATATAATGAGATTTGAATGAGAGATAAAAAAAAATAACAGTTCAACAAAATGCTGATAGAATAAAAAATAAATGTAACACACTAAAAAAACAGTATCAAAGATAAAATATGGTATTAAGTATAAATCTAATACTTAAGGCATACAGTCTGGACACAAAAAAAATTCAGTATCGTCCGCAGTCAAACCAGCACAATCCTCATGGACCCAAAAACCACAAGAAGCACATCGTCTCATATCTGCCACATAGTCTTCGTAGCAAATCACACAGTGCCATTCTTCGTTATGTTCTTTTGTTTTTGATGCAATGGAAGACACAGATTCAGATGGCGATTTAGCGGTATTCGATAAGACTGGAACGGGATCAAGTTGAGACTCCACCTCCTTTAAAAATACGGATCGCTTGACTTCAACTGCTTTGTAATTTATAGCTTTACGTCTTGGAGCAGTGTTTTTTTTGACTAGATCTGGTGTTGGTAACACTTCCGCGAAGGAATTATTCAAAGGGATTAATTTTTTACGCAATTCACCTAAAGGCAGGTACTCATCTGAATCATATTCCGAATCATCGGCAGCGGCGGTCGTCTCCTGGTAAGGTTTCTCAGTTGCAAGACTTGGGGCAAATGCTTCAATGGGAAGAACATCCTTATCATAAGGGCATATTCCCGTAGCTCGAAAGCCGCTTGTAATATTTCCAATGGACATTGCTTTCTGCCATGTAGGTGTGAAAACTTCAGAAAATCTTTCCCTGTTTAAATCACGTGTAGGATGTTTATCCCAGTACTTTAACAATTCATCATCCCAATAATCTTCAAATGCTCGAAATATAGCTTTGTCCATCGGCTGAAGCTCATGGGTGGTGTTACTCGGCAGACAATATAAGTGAATCTCATGAACTTCTGCTTTCTCAGCAATGCTAATATCCAAATGGCATTTGGCCCCATCAAAAATTAAAATTACTGGCGGAGGCAACATGTATTCAATAAAATGGTCTAACGACTTATCAAACGTTTCTATCGTCATGCTCCCTTTAGGCGTCATCATAACTTTTGAGCCAGCCGGTAAGCCATCTGAGTAGGTTGGCTTCATTCTCTTGCCCTTAAATAGAATGACAGGCGGTACGGCATGTCCGAGAGCATTAGCGCA